CACACACACACACACACACACACACACACACACACACACACAGCTGGCCCACTTCTGCTGCCTCCGTATAAGTCGCTGTGTTCTCGAGCCTACGGCGGCTCAGCGAGGACATTTTCCTTATGACTTCAACAGCAGCAGCGTCTTAACTGAGCAGGAGCTAATTTTAGAGCCTCTGTAATGTAGGTCAACATGAAAATCTATGATGTGGAGAGAAAATGTTTACGCTGCGAGCCGGGCAGCGATGATGACGCCGGTGGTAGAGGAGGAGGAAAAGAAAACCCCTGTCGACTGTAGGTGGTTCTATCAAGAGAGAGAATGAAGATGTTGTTAGAAGCCATTAATTGGTATTATAGACCAAAAGAAGCCAGTAAAGACAGATTTAAGGGTAATTAATGGATAAATGAATGGATTATATTATAATATTATAATGCTTTTAATCAGGTTTCTTTATGGATTTACACATTTTTTATAGAATTAAAGACCGTTAATTAATAATCCCTCTGAACTCACGTTATTAACAGCACCATGACTGGAGAGTGGTTTCTATGTATGTGAGTCAAACATACAAATAACAAACATTTTACAGATTTAAAGAGTCACAATCGTACAATAATGAAAAGATATATTTGCACTTTCAATTTGCAAATTCAAAAACCTTAGAAAATAGAAAACTAGATAATCCAAATAATTAGATTGATTTGATCATAAAGTGCATTGCAGTCTGCAGTAGGTTAATAAATGGGACATTGATCCGAATGTGCTGAAGGCAGATCTGAGGTCGACAGTGATGATGACGGTGACTGACACACGTTAGCTTCCTGCTACAGGCGTGTAATATCCTGTTAGCGATGACTTCAAACTAAAACTCACTTAGCATTAAATTGCTAATGCACATCACAACATCAGTCGTTGATACAAACCCCGACATCTCTCCAGACTAAACAATTTTAGCAGCCATTAAACTTTAGTCTTCTATGTCGTGTTTCCCACCTTCGGTTCAGATGTTAAAAGCCACAAACAGATGACGTGTTATATAATATGTTTTGTCAAATTTAATCCTCGGCTTTTTGTCTCGTTCCCACTTTATTTTTATAAAATAGGTGTTATGTAATTCTGAAGTCTAATGATATGATATCACGTCATATTATTATTTAACCGGGCAATTTCATAGTTTTCTATAATTTATTTGGAAATAATTCAGAATTAGATCAGACGTGTGTCTGTTTATTTCCTTAAAGTTGATTCTTATGTTCTTTTAGTTTTAATAATATCAAATCTGAACCAACATGTTTTATCACATATTTAACTCTTTAATATCATCATTAATCTTTTTATTGTTTTGACAGTTCAGAGCTTTTAAAGCCGACCCTCTTCTGTATAAGACATTAACCACAACATAGGCTCGTCATTACGGAGCAGTTTATGAGCTTAAACTGTTTATGAGGATCCCCTGCTGCGGCTGGTTTGACAATTTAGGTCTGCAGAGTGTGTGTGTGTGTGTGTCTGTGTGTGTGTGTGTCTGTGTGTGTGTGTGTGTGTGTGTGTGTGTGTGTGTGTGTGTGTGTGTGTGTGTGTTTGGGGGGTGCAGATAAGGAGATTGGCTGATAATCTCCTCTTCCTCATCCAGCCCTTCGTCTTCATTTCCCTCTGCCCTTTCACTCGTTCGCCATTTCTGTGTGTGTGTCTGATTAGTCACACTCAGACACACTAAACGAGGGCTTGAGACAAACGAGCGAAGGAGAGAGAAGAAGAAAGAAAAAAAAATCAGATAAAAGAAATGCAAAGACGAGAGCGAGGGAGAGAGGGAGAGAGGGAAGGGGGTGTAGCGTCTGCGAGGAGGGGGCATGAGAGCCTGAGAGAAAGAGATCAGTGCCTCTGCATGGAAGTTGGCACAGCAGCATCACCACCCATCCCCCCCATCCATCCCTCTCTCTCTCTCTCTCCTCCTCTCATTCCCTCCGTCTCGCTCGGGAGGATGTGACAGGACGTTTTGATTCTCAGCGAATGAGCCTGAAGGTGAGAGCGACGAACGTGCAGCGAATCAGCTCGTCAGTAGATTTATTATTTAATCAGAGTAAATCTGTGTCCAGTCAGTCGATGAGCAGATTAGTCCTCATGCAGCTCTGAGTGAACTCTGCTTCATCTCGTGTTTCTACCTCTACTCTTTATTTTTGCTTGCAGATCTTGTGTTTGCGTCCTCGCTCTGCTGAAGTCAACACTGTCTGACCTCGTCCTCCTCAACCCCATCACTTGGTCGAGTGTTGACAAACGTACTGATAGAAAGAGAAGCTGCGATTTCAGATCACCTCAGTCCGTCCGTCTCTTAGTTTGTCGGCTGCAGAGGCAGAGAGACGCTCCAGCGTTTGTGTCCGTGGGAAATTTGGATAATCCTCTTTCTGAGTATCTACCAACATGTAGCGTCTGGCCGTTAATCCAGTCTCATTCTCCACCGAGGCGATGATGGTGCTGATGAAGAGGAGCAGGAGGAGGAGAGGCAGGTTTCTCGCTGCCGGTCTCACACTTGTGAGGGTTCCTCTCACTTTGGGATCTTTGGGCTCTGCTCCTCTGTCTTGACGGGAAAAATCTCTTTGCTTCACATCAAGCTGGTCTTCGTCTTCCACCTCTGTCAGGAAAAACAAAGGAGCCTCATTAAACAGGAGGAATGTTTCAGGACTGAGCAGAAGACTGGAAATACTGACGCTGATTAAAACACACAGATTCTTTTTATGATTTCGTAGTTTTTTTACTTGATGCTTTGAGAAAAATCAACTAAAAACAAACATGAATTCCTGTTGGAGGAATCAGGTGAGAGGACGAGTGGTTTTAATGCAGACAGGAGCGTTACAGGAGTGTGTCTGTTGGTTTGCATCGACTGACTGGTGTGTGTGTGTGTGTGTGTGTGTGTGTGTGTGTGTGTGTGTGTGTGTCTACAGGAGGAGCAGGCTGCGAAGCTGAAGGCAGACAACATCCGAGTCGCCCTGGAGAAGATCAAGGAGGCCCAGGTGAAGAAGGTGAGTCAGACACACACAAGAAAGATTGACATTAAAGAAACATACGTGTGTTAGTGTGTGTGTCGCACGATGCACATGTGAGTCTATATCTGGCACGTGTCGAGCGGACTTGTTTCTGGGTCAGGTCAGTGTTACTCCACATTCAAAAGC